GAGAAACCCATTAGAAAGACCATCCAGCGTTTTCTTGCTTTTGACATCGGCGTATTATAGCATGTCATCTTGTGTCTGCAAATGAGGTGGAGACGGCTGTCTGGCTGAGTTTGTCATGGTTATCCTTTGGCGAGCTGTCACTTGAAGGTCATTGGGAAGTCCGTTCCATTAGCGGCGTGTCACTGACGGACAATGGCCTTGAATTGTTTTGCCTTGTGGGATCCATAGGTCAGTTTAAAAAAAAGATTGGGGGAGGGTATCTATATTTTTTGTAACCAGATTTTTCATAGGCCCTCGCGTGCAGAATCCAGCTCTCTTCTCATTTGCCATGCTCTGCTTCCAAGGTCCCACTCCCTGCTGATGTCTGCTCTGTCTTTTGTCCTCAGTTGCTCTCATTGGAGGTTGAGCTGCAATTTGTTTTGCCTTGCCCCACCTGGGATGAAATCCTGGCCACGTGGAAAGCAATGGCTGAGATCAGGATCTTACCCCAGGGGTTGGGATGGAAAGGTGTTCACAATGACCATAAAGATTTGCTGTAGCACTGACCTACTCCCCTTGCCTCTTGGAAAAATAGGAAAAATGAACAAGATATTTCTGTTGATGGACTCCTGGTCTGCCCTTTGCTGTTTCCAGTTGGGAGTTTCTGTTATTAAGTCAGTGAGGTCTTCCTTTTGCTGTCAAGTGTAGATGGTGGAGACCAGTTAAAAAGACTCCTTATTAATTTAATTGGGACCATACAATGTCAGTGGAATAGCTCATGAATTATAGTATCCTATCACATATGCAGTCTCTTGTTCCATGCCATATGACCATGGTGGTTTATAACGAGATCACAGTCATGTCACTGACGCATTTGACCTTGGTTGAATCGCTTTTGTTTCTGCTTCCTGTAAAATATAGCTAGCTCTAGCCACCGCAGCTATGTTGTGAGGATCACTTTAATGTTTCTGAAGTGCTTTGACCATATGAAACGCTCCAGGAAGGCTAAATGTTGCATTAGGCTGCCCAGCTAGTCGAGGCTGTTGATTTGAGCACATTTCTAGCAACTTTAAAGTCCCTATCGAGAAATCTGGCAGATGCTATGGCTTCACAAAGTGTATTCAGATGTGTTGGGAAAGCCCAGTGGATCCTGGTTTAAAAAAACAAAAAACCAGCATGAAACCTGAGTAATTAGAGCCGTCGAACCAGGAGTTCAAACTCTAGCTCTGATTTCTGGATGTGCTTAGGGCTTGGAGGTTTCAGCGTGGTGGTATATGGTGGAGTCTCTCATTTTCTTGACCTAAATCCTGAGTTTGAAGTACCAACATTTTTGGGGGTGGTATCTTTTATTGGACCAAATGCATGGCTGCAAGAGGCTTAACGGATGCTTCTCAGCGCAGCCGAGCAAGCAAGGCCCCAGGTGCGTCTCCTGAACAAAGTACTTGCAGAAATATGTTAAGAGCAATCCGATTTCACATTTGCCTTTGCTCTGCATCTGATGACTCTGCTTGCCATGAAAAGAAATATTAGTGAGACCAGAACCATACTTTTATAAGCCAAGGGACCAAATTCACCCCTCTGTAACGCACTGTTGAAGTAATCGGCAACACAGCAGAGCTGAGTTAGCTGTGATCTAGGGGAACAGGGGTGGACCATCCTATTAATGGAAGCAGATCATTGCAGTCATGGTTTTGGGCTCCACACAATTGCAATAGGTAATGAAGTGCTACTAGCGGTATATGCTACTGGTTTTCTAGCAAGCAACTGCTAGTCTTGCTATGGTCATTTTTAGAAACTGATTTCCGTGTGCTCCTCTTTCCAAAACACATGTAACATTTTGAAGTTTCCTTCCTTTGCTGAACGTTTCCAGACTTGATCCCTTCCTCTAAGTGGTTCAGTGGGCAGATTTTCTTTGGGGTTTTCTTGTTTTTAATGAGAATAAGGAGGGAAACCTTCTGCTCTTCTGGAGCAATGTGGGAAGCAAAAATACTACAGTAGTTGCCTTGTAAAAACAAAAATTCAAAAAGTGGCTTTTTAAACGGGCCTAAAGCAATGAGTTTGAAAATTGGCATAAACCGATTTCACTAAGGAATAGCATCACCTTTGAGTCTGGGGAAGGAGGAGAGATTTCTTAGAATAGCATCTCTGAAAAATCATTTCCAGGCATGTGCTGTCAGCATCTGTTTTATTGGAGCTTTGCATCTCCTACGATAAACTGCACATTGTCCCTGCCTGCCCTCACCAAGTGATCCCGGTAAGGCAGGTTAAATACTGGGCTTCAGCAAATAGCCTCCCCTTTTATAATGTGAAGTAGTGTCAATGATACATTCTTTGCCTGTTAAGCAGCATCTACATCTTGTCTGCAGGGGTTTTGACATTTAAGTATATTTAAGCTAAGAAACATTGCTTACTCAGATATCCTGTTTACAGCATGCTAGATATCAATGCATACAATTTAGCATCTTGCTATGAACTGATACCAAAAACATTTAATTTGTACACTTGAGTCAAAGTAACTTTGAGAGAGCTCAAAAAAAAAACAAAAAGCAGATTGTAGCGGTATGTGAAGAGCAACACCAGCTTGAAGTACTCTCATCTTTTTAACATGACTTCTTTTCAAATAAGTCCCTATTGTCCCACATGTAGTTTGTCAGTGACCAAGACGCACGCATGTGCAAGTGAAGGGGTTAACAGTATCTTGCAAAATCAAAGTGCTTAATTGACAGGTTGAAGAATGTTAACGGGAAATGAAAATGTTTGCACCCTTTTCCAACCGTGTCTCGCACTGAGTCGCAGTAGAATTTATTTGTAAATTGAACCAAGTCCTTCCTCATCTTTACAAGCCTTTAAGGTGTTCAACATCCGAACAAATGTTAAGTGAAGTGACAATCAAACTTTGGCATGGCTGATGGCAAAAAGGAAGAGATTGCTATTAGGACCACAACATTTGCAATGGCCAGTAATAGGTTTCCTTCTGTCACTGATGCTCTTTGCGTTTCCAGTATTTGAAGCTTGTAACAAAAATGCTAATAATCCACTGTTTTATTTAAAAAAACATACCTGATAGCAGGATCCTTCTCTATAGAATTTCAATTCGCTGTTTTTAAATTGTTCCGAATATCAGTGATGAAGTCAGAGCCGGTGGGAATTTTCCATTGATTTCAAGGGGAGTAGAAGTGTGGACTCTGATCATTCAGACAGCAGTTTTTAACTGCGTACTGAGCGGTTTCTGATTTGTGACTCAAATTTGTACCGTTACAATCTTCCCAGTAGTTTACAACATGTGTGAGAGAACGTTTCAGACTACTAGACTATGGGTTTCCTAGAGCAATTTGCTTTGAGAGAGAGGAAACATACACTGTACTTACTATATGCGTCTGCATAGTGCTATTGTACTATTCTGGAGATGCAGTTCTGAAATTAAACAAATGTGTATCCTTTGACAGAAGAAATATTTTTCTAAGGTGTTTCTAGCTTAGTGTGAGTTTATTTTTGTGATCTTTGCTCTGTGTGTATTACTTTCTTTTCTAAGCTTTCCTGAGCATCTTTTTTTTTTGTGCAGTAACTCAACAGGTGCTATAGCCACTTGCTACTTTGAGAAACTGAACCAGACAATTTGATTGGTGCTCAGGCTGACAGAAGTCAGCCTTTGAAACACTCAAATGCTGACCACGCCTCTGTCTGTAACATGCGGATGGTGCTGACAAAGATGTTGCATTTTTTTCCATCATTTAAATGATTTCTTTTTGTTGTGGATATCTGTATTAACTTGTTTAAAATATACAAATAAATTTTATGAAATTTTACTTAATCAATTAGGGGGTGTTTTTTTTACTTCTCGGAACTTACCAAGCTTGTTTTAAAGACATCTCAGATTTTGAAGGCATGTCCAAATACGTTGTGTTAATCATTACTAGCACACCTACATCCTGGCCTATTGTTTATTATCATCCTCATCCATTGTATAAAGCAGGAACACCCTGTATCAATACAGCATTGTTTTGGGGGTTTGTTTTAAAGTTCTCTCTTCTATCTGACAACACAACACAGCCAAGTTCATTAAGACAATCTAACCTGAAATAGCAATCACTAATTGGATATGCAAAATAAATGGTGTATTATCTAACTATAGTACAGCTAATCACATTTATAATTGTTTAACATGGCCATGTCCAGTTTTAGGTCACTGAGTTGCAAGACTGCTGATCTTTTCTAAACAAGTGTAATTCCCATGTGACAGGCTAGTTTAGTTGAAGCTGATCCATCTCTTACAGCAGTGCAAAAGTAGCCTGCCCACTTCTATTCTCAGAGCTTTTTCTGCCTGAAATTCACTTCAGGCTTGTACTCGCACGTAAAGTGCGATACAATATTCTCTGCACCAAAACATACAAAGGCAATTTTGTTTAGCTAAGGGTGGGCACCAGATCTGTAGTGTACAGTTTTAGTCCCTTCTCCAAAAGACGCTCTGTGCTTTCCAGTTCGGAGTGAAGGGCGAACTCACACAGAAGGTGCTTTCTAACTCAACTCCCGTGTTTGCTGTGGCTTCATTTTCATTTTGTGATGTCCTGCACTGACACGCCACTCCTTTTTGCCAGGAACTACCAGATCACAGGTACCTCTTTTTCCAGACACATCTGTACTAGCAGGAAT